ATGTTTTCAACATTGATAGTAGATCCAGACGACACTCACAGACAAACACAAACAACGCAAGACCATAAAATAATCAGTTGAAAAACGAAACAAAACAAATACATATTTACAAATATAAATAACAATTTAGAGCCAGAGACAAATATATTTGTTCAATTCATGACTTCGTACAGGATGGCATCGCCATCCAGCGTGGAAATATCTCACACACGCGCACACACAAATCTTCGCCTCCTCTACAAATAAGGAGAAAAGTGTGGGTCTATTTACTGGTCAGAGTCCTTCAGTGTCTCTCCATCCTCAGCAGCGTTTTTGTTTCTGGGTTCTTCTGAAGGTTCTATTTTTTTTTTTAATCCCTCTCTCCCTGAGATTCCTCGGTCGGCTCAGATCCTCCAGATCCTCTAGCAGAGCCAGGACGTGGGGACCCACTGTGGCTCCGTGTCCAGCTTGTCGATCAGCCTGCGCAGCTCGTGGAAGGCCTGGTCCTGGTCTGTGTTCACGATGGTGGCATCGAAGTAGTGACCGAAATAGTGCTCCATCTCCCGGGCCTTCTCGATCATCTCCTTCAGCTCCTCTGGCTGTGGAATCAAACAATGCGTCACTTGGCAAACATGACTGAGTGCTGCACAAAGACATCACACTGAGGTACAGGGCTGCACCTCTGCACACTGGATACCTTTGGTGTTTTACCCTGGGCGGCCAGCAGGATTCGTAGTCGTTCCTGAGAAGGAGGAGCGATGAAGATGACGTAGGGCTTGAGGTTTGAAGACCGCAAAACTCGTAGAGACTGATGACAGGAGGCGCAGTGACATTAAAATGGTAACAAAAACATATAGACCGTAACTATGTTTGTGTTAAAAATTAAATATATGTTCACGTACACATATACATTGTTAGATACATATATTATATAAATATATTATATTACTATAGATTTCATTTCCTACCCTTGTGTGCAGACACAGTAAACAGATTCGTCCAGAGTTGATGACGTGTCGGACTGAATCGGTGCTGGTCCCGTACAGGTTCTTCTCATAGTCTCCTGACTCGATGAACTTCCCTGAACCCAGGTCAGTTTCAAAGACGGCGCGACTCACAAAATGGTACTCACATCCGTTTCGTTCATGCGTCCTCGGGTTCCTGGTGGTGTCTGTGTCAAAAACACGACAGTGGAGAAAAAGATGTTGTCCATTTCATGTCTTTGTCCATGTCCACATATGGACTGGTACTTTTAATGGACTTACGTGGCACCGCTACAGCAAACTTTTCAGGTTCCTGGGTCAGAAGTCTGCGTCGCAGGTCGTCGAGTCCGCTGTTAGCAGGACCAATCAGAGCAATGGGTCGTTTCCTATTAGAAGGCTGGTGATAGAGCGACATCTCCTCGTATGTCAGGATGTCGTCATGGTCTGAGAAGAAAGACTTCTTTGTTTCAATTTTTTTTTGCACAGATGTGACTCAAACATTGGTGCCACATAAGCTCAGGAATATTTGGAATATTGACCAGATTTTCTTTTTTTCCCCAAGCATTTAGACTTTTTATAAATGAGCTCTTTTCAGTGTGAACACTAGGCGGCAGCAGTGTGCATGTTTCCTGCTGGACATCTGCTGGTTCCTCCTCAGCTCTAGTCTAATCTGACCTTTGACACAGAGTCCGGACCAGCTGCTGTGTGAGAGAAAGCTATGTCAAGTACAGCTAACAGACTTGACGGCTGTGTGAAGTGGCCACCAGGGGGATTACAGAGTCTGACTGGTACAAATAACAACAACAAGTTAGTTTGAGTCTCACCAGTGTTTTTACTGACGTTGGTCTTGTTCTTCTTCTTCTGTTTCTTGTTCTTCTTTGAATACCAATTCTTCCCTGAAATACAGCAAAGATCAACGGTGGATTATTATTTCTGTCATGATTGACACTTCAGATCAATTCTTTTCTTTGGGTTTATAACCCATCCTCAGGTCACCTTGCTGCTCCTGACTCCTCTCTGTTAAGGTTTTCTTCAAGGACTCTCTCTGATGCTGGAAACTTTTCCCTGAGAAATGACAATGGGAACAGTTGAACAGACGTTCACCACAAATAAAATTCAGATTTTTTAATTTTTTTTTTTAATGAAATGGTTCTGACAGGAGAGCTGATGTGAGAACATTAACATGTTTTTTAAAAAATAAAACATGACGATATCATTTAAAGAAATCACAGTTGGCACCAGTTATGTTCCATGGTTCATAACCCAGTGTTTCTTCAGTTACACCAGGCTTGGAAAATTGTGACAATATCACAGAATAATCTTCCTGTCAGAGTCAGAAGAATGGTGAGAAATGAAAAACTTACAACCAGGTAGGAAGAGTCTGCTGTTCATTTCTGAAGAACTGGGAGATTCATTATTATGCACATACATTTTCAAAAAGTACTTCATCAGGTGTATTTACTTTTTGAGGATTCTTACTCGCAGTACTTCCAGCGGATCAGATAAGTTTGCCTCCTGTGACTGCAGTAAAACCTGTCTCTCTCAGTCCAGCCGTTGGTCAAATCCACTTCAGCCTCTCATGTTTACTCTCGCAGCTTAAGCTCGTCTGCATGCAACTGTGGTCGTGACACTTTGGTCACAGTCTGAGAGAAGCTCAGAGTACACATTACACACTGGTACACCAGATCACTAACATGTACGTGTTGGATTGAAGGAGGTTTTAACACATGATGGAGGAACATGTGTGATGACGTTGATGTTCATAATAATAATAATAATAATAATAATAAAAATAATGCTGAGGGAAATAGAAATATCTGGTTGAAGCACCACTGGGATCCAGACCTGGAATGAGTCCAGCCAGAGGCTGGTTGTCCTCATCTCCATCCCTGTAGGCCTGCCACCAGTTGGGGTCGTCCTGACTGATGACGTGGAGGATGTCTCCTCTCTGGAAGGAAAAGCCCAGCTCCCGACACGGCACAAAGGGGTCGTCACAGGGGTCGTAGTCAAAGTAAGCTCGAACGTGAACCTGAGGAAAAAATGTTTTACTACATGAAGGTGGGTGACGTACACATGCTCTCACACACACACTAACACACACGCACACAGACACAAAGTTGATGTACAAAAGAATTTTATTTTTTCTGAATTTTAACCACAAAAATTGACATAGCTAATTATTTTAAGGCAAATGAGTGTATGTTTAGTCTTTTATGATAAACTTTTATTTTCGGAGATTTGTTTAGGAATTTATTGGTATAGTATTTTACTGTGATCAAAAGTTGACGTACCATGGTATAGTATTTTTATGTTCCCAACACACACACACACACACACACACAGACACAGACATGATTATAGACCTACCACAGTCTGTCGGTGTGGAGTAGGTTTCATCTGAGAGCTGGGGATGAGGACGAAGGTCAGGGTGCCGTGCATTTGTTGCTGATAGAAAAGAGAAAAAAAGAATACATGTGAAATATGACAGAAATATTCCATATTCAAATTCCATAGAAAACATTTTCACTGAAAAACATTAAATTTGAGAATCAACCTGTTATTGATTAAAGATTGATTTACTTGAAAAATGCAGATTTGAAGACAAATCTAAACCTGAAGAGTTGACACCAAGTCTCTAGTCTCAGACCCTCACCAGTAGGTCGTGGACTTCGTTGACGTGTTTCCCACGTATGGGAATCCCATTGACCTCCAGGATTTCGTCTCCCTCGCCGAGGAGGCCACTGCGCTCTGCCGCCCCACCTTTAACCACCCGACTCACCACCACACTGTCCACGTCGTTACGAACTGTAGCCCCCTGATTTAAATAAATCACAACAAACAAACAAATCAAATATATTTCAATGCTATCAGTGGTTCAATACGATACAAAGACAGACATTTTCTGACTGCTTCTGATTTGAAGTCACACTCTTTAAAACACACTTCTCAAAGGCAACAAAAGGGCCCAGTACTGACACATTTACTTTGATAACATTTCTGTCTGTTTGTCTTTGTCTCTCACTGATTTATCTTTGAAGATTAAAGCAGTTTAAACGGCCGACACACAGAAAGACGCAGTCTCACCAGCGGAGTGTCACACGTTTTCTCCAACCGCACCACTTTGACCGTCTCTCCAAGGTACTGGGTCACATGACCCTCGGCCGACTCCTGCTCCGCCACACTGTCGTGAGCCTGCACCAGTGCCTGCCGTAACACAGACAGACAGGGGGGTTAGGGACAGGTTATGGGACATACAGTAAATGTGTCCAGATCAGGAGTCTGTTCACAGCTGGTTCGTGAGTGGAAGACACAGAAAAAAAAACCCATTATTGTTGTTGTTTGTATTTGTAAAATGTCTCGTGAGTGGAAGACACAGAAAAAAAAACATTATTATTGTTGTTTGTATTTGTAAAATGTAGATAAAACATTATTAGATAAAACAAATTGAGACTTTGGCCAATCACATGTCTGAGAAAATGAAAAGACAAAGTTAAGTCTCTGGCCTCTGTCAACTCCAACAATCACATCTGCATATCACTGGCATTTGATAATGAATTACACACACTTCACGTCTCTGATAGACTCAAAGTCCTGGAATTTGTGCTCTCTTTATGTCTCGACAATTTGTCATGACAAGAGCCAAGTTAATCCTCTTTTAATTTTTTTTTTTTTTTAGCTGTGAAGACTGGTGTAATTGTTCTGAACGACACCATAGATCATCTTTGGATCAGTCGTGGTTCCTCCTCTCCCATCCACTTTACTGGAGAGGAGGATTCACCTTGAAGGGAGGACGAGGAGCAGAAGAACTCATCAATCTGAATGACTGAGTATCAACACAGAGAAGCTGTGAGTGAGTCCAGAGCAGCACAGTGCAAACACACACACACACACAAAACGTCATGGAAACTGGAAACGTCACAAGCAGAAGAGGTGACCCAGGTCACGTCTTCATTTACATGGAGGACGTTCTTCATCAACTACATTAATATTTGAAGCAAAACAATGAGATGACTTTGAAAACATGAACTTTTGCCCAAAAATAATGAATAATAAATAAGCCACAGACATAACTAAATATGACTATTTACAACAAATACTTATAGTATATTAATACTGTTTAAATTACTAACACTATACTTTTATCATTACTATTCCAGTAAAAATAAATATTTAGGTTATTTTTATGATTACTACTTTACTGCAGCTAAGTTGCTAATGTTGCTGATTACAAATACTTTCATTACTGTGATGTTAATGTTACTATATTTATAATATATTACGATCGCATTGATTCTTCATTACAATAGTACATTCCTCTTTTATAAAATATATTTCTGATGTTACAAAATATTTCACTCTTAGAATATTACACTATCTCACTAACTCATCAAAATTCTACACTGCTCTTCTGTTAAAATCTTATATTCTACACTGCTCTTCTGTTAAAATCTAATCTAAAATTTTCATATATATTCTATGTTAATAACCTTAAATGTTACATATTATATTTATATCATTTTTTAAAAAAATATTCTAAATTCATTTTATTTTTTGTTTTAACTCTTTACACAGTTAAACCTGTCGTGACACTACAGCTGACCGGTGCAGGCTCACCGACACTGGGTGGCGCTGCATCCACGATCATACTGTAGGTCAAGGAGGTGAAGTGGAAGACAACGGCTCTAGTGCTGATCTCTGACCTGCAGGTGAGGATGCGTGAGCAGAGCCCTGAGCTCTGGGCCTTCCCTCTCTGGGCTGGACTGGAGAATCTTCTGGACCTGAAGAGGAAACAAAGAAACACTGTGTCGTCGTTGATCTTCTGCTAATGTGAAGTATGTTTGTTGGGCTGTTTTTTGGACTTCTCCAGGTTCCTGCCAATCACTGTCTGCTCACAACAAAACAGCCATCAGCTACAAATTAAACAGCTCCAGTGAGACTGCTCTGAAGGGCCTGAATTACCCTCCCAGCCTCTGTGTGACAGACAGGACTTCTAATGTTTTAATGTCCGACGGCTGTGGAGAAATCACTCAATCTCAGTCAGTCAGTTTTACTTCAGGAGAGACCAGTAGGAGAGAGAACAAGAGTGGCAGGTGGTTCTGACCCACCCAGACATGAAGACAAAAGACTTTTGTTGCTGTCACTTTAGGAACAGAGGGTTTTTTTTATTTAGTCCCCTTTAACATCCTGAAAGTTGATATTTGAGTGTACCTCCTGGCAGAGATCCTGTGCCTGTAAGGTGAGAGCTGAGCTGGGCGTGACTCTACCCGTGGGCTGGGACACGGCACTGAAGATGGTGTAGGCATCTTTGAAGTGGTCCTTGTTGAGAAGCTGCAGCAGCAGCTCCACGTCCTGCTGGCTCTCAGTGTCAGTCAGCCGCTGCTGCATCCACCTCACAGCCTGCAGCAGCTCCTCCATCTCTGAGAGACAGACACACATGATGATGATGATGATGAAGAAGAAGGAGCATGTGTGTTATATTCCCTGACAGGACCCACACCCCCCCACACCCTCCACATCAACACAATCACTGTCATTGCCTCGAAACTGAACTTAATAAAAAAAAACAGTAATCACTCGCAAATGCCTTTCTTATCAGACAATGTGAATTAAAGTCATTGATACAATTAAAATTAATTTGCCATGTTAACTTTTTTCTCCCCAAGGAAATAGCTCTGCTCCCCCTAAGGGGACCTGACCCCTAATTTGGGAGACACTCCCCCTTGGCTCTGCCCCCTTATTTGTCCTCTTCTTTTTAGAATTTTTTTTTGTGGACCTTTACAATTGCCCATTCTTATCCCCCTCCTCACCTCCTTCAGCCCCCTCCCTAAGATCACCCCCCACCCTCTACCCTCTACCCTCAACTCACCAGCCTGGGGATCAGGGCAGCATGTGTCTGTGACGGCCTTCTCCTTGCCCTCAAAGGTGGGATTGTCAATACCCACCTTGGGGTTCTGAGAAAGCTTCCTGAGTCTCAGAGATGCATCGGGGTTGATGTCGTGCCTCCCCCTGCCCTCTTCCTCTCTTCTCTTCTTCAGCTCTTCCTGGTAGTGCTGGATCCTCTCCATATGGATGCTGCTGTGTGGAGATTTGACGAGGCTGCTCTCCTCCCCTGGACAGTCCACGGCTCTCTCCCTGTGGCTCCTGCCCTGACCGTAAGGCTCCTGTGCATATCCGTTTGTGTGGGAGGTGATCATCTTGGCCCGAGTCGCCTTTACCTTTTTTTTATTTAGTCCCCTTTAACATCCTGAAAGTTGATATTTGAGTGTACCTCCTGGCAGAGATCCTGTGCCTGTAAGGTGAGAGCTGAGCTGGGCGTGACTCTACCCGTGGGCTGGGACACGGCACTGAAGATGGTGTAGGCATCTTTGAAGTGGTCCTTGTTGAGAAGCTGCAGCAGCAGCTCCACGTCCTGCTGGCTCTCAGTGTCAGTCAGACGCTGCTGCATCCACCTCACAGCCTGCAGCAGCTCCTCCATCTCTGAGAGACAGACACAGATGATGATGATGATGAAGAAGAAGGAGCATGTGTGTTATATTCCCTGACAGGACCCACACCCCCCCACACCCTCCACATCAACACAATCACGGTCATTGCCTCGAAACTGAACTTAATAAAAAAAAACAGTAATCACTCGCAAATGCCTTTCTTATCAGACAATGTGAATTAAAGTCATTGATACAATTAAAATTAATTTGCCATGTTAACTTTTTTCTCCCCAAGGAAATAGCTCTGCTCCCCCTAAGGGGACCTGACCCCTAATTTGGGAGACACTCCCCCTTGGCTCTGCCCCCTTATTTGTCCTCTTCTTTTTAGAATTTTTTTTTGTGGACCTTTACAATTGCCCATTCTTATCCCCCTCCTCACCTCCTTCAGCCCCCTCCCTAAGATCACCCCCCACCCTCTACCCTCTACCCTCAACTCACCAGCCTGGGGATCAGGGCAGCATGTGTCTGTGACGGCCTTCTCCTTGCCCTCAAAGGTGGGATTGTCAATCCCCACCTTGGGGTTCTGAGAAAGCTTCCTGAGTCTCAGAGATGCATCGGGGTTGATGTCGTGCCTCCCCCTGCCCTCTTCCTCTCTTCTCTTCTTCAGCTCTTCCTGGTAGTGCTGGATCCTCTCCATATGGATGCTGCTGTGTGGAGGTTTGACGAGGCTGCTCTCCTCCCCTGGACAGTCCACGGCTCTCTCCCTGTGGCTCCTGCCCTGACCGTAAGGCTCCTGTGCATATCCGTTTGTGTGGGAGGTGATCATCTTGGCCCGAGTCGCCTTTACCTCTGACCAGCACAGAGTTTCCAGAGATTTTCTCAAGTGTTTACGAGTCTCTGGAGCTGGACGTGCTGACTTCAGGAGCCATAGGCCAGCACGGAAGCACGAGGATGTTTAGGCACTGTCTGAAAACTATCACCCTGAAAAGAAAAAAAAAGAAAAGTTACCTGAACTCACATGGATGTGATAATGTCAGTGTTCACACACTGAACAAAAGACTTAAAAATGTTAACAATTCAGCTGGAGTATGTAACACAAGTGAAAACAAACACAACAAAGAGATAAAAAAAGTGATTCACAACTGACTATTTTACACACATTAAAGAAGAAGGCTGTATTAGTTCATCAAACATTTGTTTAAGGATATTTAAGGAGATTTGAAGACATTTTTTTGTCAAAAATGTCTTCAAATCTTTCTTGTCTGATCACTGTCCAGCTGACCATGTGGACTACTGCTCCTTCTACTACATTTATAAACATTTCTTTCTCGCCTCCCCCCCTCAGTGGACTACTGCTCCTTCTACTACATTTCTTTCTCGCCTCCCCCCCTCGGTGCTGTTGCTGCTGCTAAGCTGCAAAAAAGCATGGGCTCCCAGACTCAACTAAGCCCACAGGAACAGATGGCCTGTTGGCAGTCTTCACCGTTGATCTGCCACACACTGCCACTCGTAACAGCGCTAAACGCTTCTGCGGGGGATTGGTTTGGACACTTGGACCAAGAGCTGCGGGGGATAGACCTGCCAGACGTAATTAGCTGTAGAAAGTAGGTAAAGGAGGGAGGTGGGATGGGGGTGGGGGTGAGGTACTGCAAGGTGATGACAGAAGATTTGAGTCCAACAGTGATGAAAAGATGGCTTTTCATGATGAAGCTGTTTATCTGACTGTGGGGTTTTCTTCATGTCACCAGTTGGCTAATAACGAATGAAACATTTCTACTGGACTTACAGTTAAATCTGGTAGAGGTTGCTCTGAGCACAGCTTAATCTTGAACCCCCCATCCCACCCCCTTTCTAACCATCAATAGGACAAGGAATTTAAAAGCAAATTGACTAAACAGTCTTCCTGGGTCGACAAATATTAAAACAAGTGTTTCTCAAGTTGTACAGCACCAAAAAAAAAAGTACAGATTTTCCACCGAATATTTGCTCGTGAAATATTTACCATCTGCTATACAGATGAGGACAACTGACATAGTAGTTTGTAAATGTATTGGGATAATGAAGTGGAATCTGAACAGAGACTAAATGGTTTAAAGACAAATTAAAGAATCCCTTATCATTGATTTAACTGTACACCTTTATTTTCACAGATATATTTCCCTCAAACATACAATATACACCTACAGCTATTTTTCAACTAAATTGGTTTACAAATATAAATCTTAAAATTTTTCAACTAAATTGGTTTACAAATAAAAATCTTAAATCACGTCTTATGTACATATGTACATACATATATATACATACATATATATATATATATTTCTGCAGACTCGATAATCACTGCTTATTCCGTTCTGCACATGTATTCCAAATACCCACAGAAAACTTTAAAACTAAAAACTTGACTAAACTAAACTTGCGTGTGTGTGTTTGTGTGTAAAACAACAACAACACAGAAGCGGTTAGCTTGGTTAACTCATTTCGGAGGTATTTAAGCCTCGTTGTCCGCAACAAACAAACAGGCAACTGCCGGGAACAAATGAATAAAAGAGCAGCACGTTTATTTAACATTTAACGCATCCGGAAAACTTAGTTGAAAGACGCATCTTTCCGAATAGTGCTAACGTAACATTAGCCGGAATTTTAAATTAGCTTAGCATCCCGTTACCGCTAACTACGTAGCAAAAGGGTCAACACGAAGTTTATACTCACCACTGAAGAGGAGAACATATCCCACCGTTAATTCTTATTTACTCAGTCATCTGTGCATTTGGTTGGAATTCTAGCGAACAACAAAACCGTTATCTCTCTCCACGGGAGCTCATTCAGCCGCAGCCGTGACTGGTGACCGGCCGCTGTGTCTTGACTCTGGAAACTTGGAGCCATGGCTGAAAAAACACACCGTGGCCGGTGTTTGGTGTCATCCCCTTGGTAACAAACTAGCTACACGGCGCCCCCTATCCGTTAATCACCGAAGTTACCAACATGGCTGCCATATCCGTTAATCACCGAAGTTACCAACAACACAAACAAGTCAAGTCAAGTGCTACAACATTCAGCTTCTGTTGCACATCTTTTAACCTTTAACCTTTAAATCACAACTGGCAATATTTTCACCGTATATGTCGAATATTACACGTAAAACAAGTAGCATTCCTGTGCATCTACCTCACAGTAGGTCTTAAATTACACCATAAGGATAGAGACAAAAACAAGAGCTATGTTAATTTAGTTGTGCTTTTTTTGCTTGGTTGAAACAGACAGAGTTAAACAAACAAACAAACATATTTTAGAATGCAAATAACTAATTATTTATTTTTGTTAATTATTTATCGGTCTAGTTGATGCTAGTCACTCGTCCATATAGTATTATGGTAATGGTTTAGGCCTCTGCTGACACCACCCAACTCTGGATTTGGAAACTAATGGGAACTAAACCCAGAAAAACAACATGTTTGACACAAAGTGAGAATGATAAAAACACAAATTTTTTACTTACAGTCGATACAGGGAGCAGGTCCTCGTTGTGAACTCTGGTTCCTCCGAGTTTCTATAAGCAGGAAGATAAATGTCACATCTGCCACCTCTGGAATTCAAGTTTGTAATGTACAAATGGAACGCACCTTTAGTATGACGCCACTGGTCACCAATTCAGAGTCGTACGTACCAAAGAAGAAAGTCACTGCTTTTGCTTGACACAAATTTTATTAAAAAAAGAAACCCAACAAGAATGTTTTTTTTTACATAATCATCAAGGATTTTTATTATCTTAGTCTCTTTCATCAGTTTCATATCATTACAGAAAATGTTATAGTACAGCGTTGTTCAATGTCTCCTCATTGCTTAATAATTTCCTTAGGAGTGCTGGTCACATATATCTGTACAATATGGTTCTTGGTTTTTTTTTTTTCTGTACATTTTTTGTGAAGTTGGTTAAAAAGGCTGTCAGCACTTAAAGAAGCTGCTTCTTTTCTCTGTGTGTGTTTTTTTTAAATTACCTCTTAAATAGTTGATCAAATAAAAGATTATTTTCCCCAGGTTTGGCTCGCCCCTGGGGGGAGGGCTTGGGGCAGAGTTTACACCCGGTAACGGTAAATATAAGGAAGCTTCAGGGTCTGGGCTGACTGGGGCATGTCCCCCCCCTCCCCCCCATCTGGCTCTCCCAACATCACCTTTCCCTGCCCAGGCATTTGGCACTGCGCACATAAACAAGACTCACAAGATAAACAACAAGCAAAGCTCTTTGTGAAGCCATTATGATGCATACTAATGAGAGAAAAACAGAAGCGTCACCTCGGTGGCTGCTCAAAAGAGGAAGTGCTTCTTCCTCCCAGCTGAGCACCATGGGAAATCTGGAGTCTTCCTCAGTGTTTTTGTCTTCATTTTTCAAAAAAGCAGATTATTTTTTTCCACTAAAGATGAGAAAATAATAATTGTCTTTTTTTGTCCTGGCAGGCACCTACATCTGTCTATTAAAATGCTACTGCTATAGATAAGGTCTAGCATTGAACACACAAAGCAATTGCAATGAAAGGAACAAAGTTGCCTTAATATAATAATGATAATAAGAAGAATAATGATAATAATAATAAGAATAATCATAATAATATATTACAGAATAAATCTCTTTTTATAATTTGTTTTTTTCATTAAAAGTTATATTTTCTTTGTTTGAAATACTATAATCTTTTTAAATTAATTTTTCTCATATGTACCTAGGTTGTGATCAAGATGTTGACTATACCTCAACGTTATCCAAATCAATAAAAACTAGCTGTGCCGTTGCATATTACAGAATAGTCAATGATATGTGGACATGCACCGTGAACCACCCATTCCGACCCGCGCTATATGACGCCACCTCTGCGTCCCCCTGTGATTACATCATAGCCGGCCGATGACCATGACATCGACCACCTCGCCCTTGTGCAGCTCCACGTATTGCTCTGTTTTGGGAGGTAGCATCAGGAGCCCGTTCGCACTGCGCATACTCATCAGCCTGCTGCTCACCTGGTTCCCTGCAGCAGGAGGAGGAAACACTCAACATCAGACAATAAAAACACAACCTTCACAGAAACCACAAACTTGTACTACAATCCTACCTCAGAGTGCATATTTGTACCACATCAGGATGTACAGTATACTAATTACGATCACGTGCTTTAACTCTCCTTTTTTTAGGACACCTGACCGCAGCACCTTTTCTGCATCGGTCTGCATTAAAACAACTGGCTTCCATTGACATTCACTCATCTTTTCAGGTCACAGAGAGGCTGCAGACAAACCTAACAGTTCACACTTCGACTATTCACACTCAAATTCACACCACGTCAGCGTGAACGATTAACCTAATCCTACATTTTGAACTGTGGGAGGAAAATGGAGAGAAATTATTGAAACTTATTACAGAGAGAAGGAGCATCGAACCCATGACCTTCCCCCTTGAACACTGTAATGTCAATAAAACTGTAATTCTCATTGAACTAAGGAAAAAAACAAAAACAAATCTGTGCCGTTTCATCACTGAGACAAAGTAATGAAATGTTGAAATTCAAACGTGGTTTTAAGGAGGATTGTTCCGAGGCCCTGACGGCTGTACCTGTGCTCTGTGCCCACGGCAGAGGTTCCTGGTGATGCCATGTCAGAATGCAGCGGTGGTATTCAGGGCGAGGGTCCAACTTCACATCACAAGACAACTGGTGAATGAAAAAAGACAAAAACAAAACAGAAATGCTGAGCTTGAATCACACTGACGTAGTAAAACAGGAGCTCCCTGTCGTTCAGACTAACATTAGCCTGAGCTTGGTGGAAGTTTTTCTATCAAACAGGACTCGAACCACTGCCATTATTAGTATTGATATTTATAAACTCAGCGTCAACAGCTGCTCTGACTGTACTGAGACTGTTGTCTTGTATTTCTGCCTCTAAATACAAAAACGATGGAGGCAGAGACTGTGACTACGGGTGTCATCAAACATAAACACATGCTAATGTTGGCTCATTACTGAATGATTTCCACAAAGGTGGTTTCTGGCTGCGCCTGCTCAGCCAAACTGAAGGTTCAGTGTGTTTCTGCCATACTTGAACCCAGAAATATTTGGATAAAGACAGACTTTACTTGGAGGATTCACCGCCTTCCAGAAAATGCAAACTTCTTTAAAAATAACAACAACAAAAAAAAAAAAAAAAAGCCATCATCCTGTCGTCGCCAGGACATAAATAACGGCACCAGAAAATGCAAACTTCTTTAAAAAAAGAAAAAAAGAAAAAGCCATCATCCTGTCGTGGCCAGGACATAAATAACGGCAGTAACCAGACAGAACGGCAAACAGAGAGAGAGCAGCGGAGCAGCTCGACCAATGACGCTGGCAAACAGAGAGAGATTTTCAGCGAGCGCGTCTTGACCTGCGTCTGGTTCCATCTGCTGAGCAGAGATGATTTGGCTTGGTCTGTGTCTTTGAAGCCATCGGTCCCAGCACTAAGTGACAGTAATATTTCTAACTGCTTCATAACAGCGAGTGATGTAGCAGAAAACTCTGGATGGGAACCACCGTGGCAGGAGACCAGAGGATTTTTTTATTTATTTAACTTGACTGGTGTGAAGGAGAACACTTCATCTTTCCTGTTGGACATTTCTCAAAATATTTCTGACCACATCTAAACATCATTATACTGAACTTTAATTCTCTGCTTTTTCTCCAGTGTTGAGTCTCACTCCAGCCTCAGCCTCTGTGCCTCCCGGAGGCTGAAACTTACTTTCCCAAGAGATAGCTAGTACAACTATAAAGCATCTTGCGCCTGGTCCTTAAACACCAGTCAGACCGAGCGACGACTCGGCGTCTCGGACGACCCTTTACATCCTACCCTCGCTTTGATGATGGTAGGCCTAGGGTCCAAAATGCCCTGCATCTTCCTTAAGGCAGGGATGACGAAAAGATTGCAGGTGACAACAGCGGACACGGGGTTTCCTAGGACAGACGGACAGGGGGAGATAGATGGGGGGGAGGCAAAGGGAGGACAATATATGAGTAACATCTCTTCAGTGTTGGCTGAGTAAATCCCTCTTTCTCTCAACTTCACACACTACCTGGGAGGGCAAAGATTAGTTTGCGAGCACCGTCTATGTCCAAGGTGGCGAATGTTGTTGGGAGACTGAAAGACAGATAACGCACAGCAGGATTGGTTTGGGATTTCATTTTTATTTTTTATACCTGTGTGATTTTTTTTCTTTTCTTACCCTGGTTTCATGAAGACACGACCAAAGTGGATCTGAGCGTGAAGGTCGATGTCCATCACCTGCTTCAGGTAGTCCTGACAACGACAGCACCAACAAAGTTTATTAGAATCTATCATTTACACATGAATCATTTATATAATTATAAACAGTTACATAAATACATGTATGAGTGAGTATTGACTTTCTTGAGAGTTTTTCTTCCTCATATCTCTTCTCAGTTTTAAATGGATGCAGGTACTCCTCTTTAATCTTTAATCTTGAAAGTATCTCAGTTTTAAATGGATGCAGGTACTCTTTAATCTTTAATCTTGAAAGTCAGACGTGAAACCACTTTTGGACACAAGATAGCAGTAAAACACAGAACAAGAAATAAAGGCATTGGGATCTTCTCCTGTCACTCACCTTCTCTCCCATGGACACACCTCCTGAGGTGATGATGACGTCAGCACGGCTGATGCCTTCATTCAGAGCGTTGAGCAGGTCATCGGGGCTGATGGGAGCACACACGCACGCACACACATTGGTCAGAAACTCACAGAGGAGCAAACGTCAGGAGTAGGTTTAAAATTAGCAGCCGGGCTAAAAAAAAAAAGCGGAGATGAGGGATGAAGACTGTTTGGAGGATGTAAAGCCATACTTGTCTCCCACGATGCCCAGGTTGATGGTAGGGTAACCGTGCTCCTGGATGGTGGCCAGCAAGGTGGAGCGATTGCTGTCCCTGATCTTCCCAGGATGGAGGTCGTCTTCTGGGTTAAGCAGCTGTGACGGAGCAGGAGGAGAAATCAGTCGGTAAATACAATTTTATTAAACAACTCCGAAGCTCCCGTCCAAAAACCTGTACAGGAAGTGACAGTGGGCCGCACTCAAAACTTGGTAATAAAATGGAGGTTCCATCTTTTCTGACCTCATTTCCTGTGGACATGACGGCGACCACAGGGAATTTCTGGACCTCCACCTCTGTGACTCCAACTGTGGCCAGGAGACCAATTTCAGAGGGACCCATGTGGGTGCCCTTAGCCAGCACGCACTCCCCACGTTTGATGTCGTGACCAATGGGCCTGTGGAACATTTTAAAAAGTTATTGAGGTTCCCAAAAGGCCCAAGAACTTTAAAATACTACCAGGAGTGTGTCTTCCTGTTATAAGTCTTTGTCCACCATAGTTGACATCACCAACCTGATGTCCTGTCCTGGACGAGCCTGTACTAGGATTCGTACCTCCAGCTCCTCTGTGCCCTGAAAGACAAACCGTCCGTCAGGTCCGTCTGAGTCTGTCTCAGGTTCAGGAGAGACCAGAGGGGACACTGTGCACTGTCCCTTTAAATCTCACTACTCCACAGTGTGGGGACAAACCTCATATTTTAACGGTCTGTGTGTGTTGGGTAAAAACGCACACTTACGTCTTCAGACTCACGGAGGAGCTCGGTGTCCTCCACCTGCACTACAGCGTCAGCCCCACAGGGGATGGGAGCACCCGTCGTCACCCTCATCACCTGACCAGGCATCACTGTGTGAGTGGGCTGAACAGAGAGGGGAGAAAACCACAAGGTGAACGACACCAGGAACACCACAAACATTTGATATTAAACACGTCAGCGTGGACACAAACCTGCTCTCCAGCCTGGGATTCTCCGATGATGAAGCGGTCGCCCGGGCCGTCAGCCGCTGAAACAGGAAGTAGTTTGTCAGACATGTTTATGTCCAGGACTCAAGGACACAGTTGTCAAATGGACTGTGAGGGACTGAGGACTGACTCATATGGTTAAGGACAAGAACAAAAAAAAAAGTTGGAATTATCTTGAATAATCAGGATTAATTTTGATTAATTACAATAAATTATTATTACGCAGACTAAATATTTGTATCATTTACGTTTGATTAATTACAATAAATTATTATTATCATTTACATTAAAATCTTTTACATCACTTAAAGTTAGTTACATTAGGAATAACATTTTTTCACCAGACAAAAAATGTTACATTAGGAATAACATTTTTTCACCAAAATTTATAAATTATTGATAGTCAAAAGACCAAGACTCATCAGCCCTCAACTTAGCTACTTAGCCAAAAAAACTGAAATGTATGCTGTATAAAAATAGCAGAAATTGAGTCCAATTATTCGTTAATTAGATGTGACTTACCTCTCACAGCGTAACCGTCCTTTACAGAGGCAGGAAAGGGTGGCAGGTTGTCTTTGGCATAAACGTCCTGAGCCAGGACTCGACCCATCCCATCTGCAGGGACAGAGGAATGATCAATGATCAGTGAATTATTCAGTCTATAATTGAAGACGGTACAACATCACCACCAAGTGGCTCAAAGTGAGATGTGCGATGTTTGTGTGGCCTCGGCCTCAGATAGTAAGATAGTTTGGGCTAATTTGACAAAAACTAAGGTAGACCTATAAAAACGAAGTTTTCAACCTCTGACCTGGAGACATCTGAACGAATAAAAAACACTTGGCTACCATTTCTGCAGACTTCAGTTTAAAGGAGGTAAAGGCAGAAACAGACAGTAGTAGAGTGGGTGGAGGAGAGAGAAGCAGCCACTAAAATACCCCAGGCTGCTGTGGTAGCTATATATAGTGTTGCTGTGAGCCTCGGTGCTGTGATTATGTGGGTGTTAATATGAAGATCTAAGCTTTGATATCAACCATCTGAAGGAAAACAACACACGTATTACTGTCACCCACACAGGCATACTGTGTATGTACAGCACACGAGCGGCGTAAATTATGCAGCTCAGTATGAGAGGAGAACAGGAGTGTTCCTGCAGCTGCCACCGTAACAACATCATCATTATTATCACCACCACATGTTTTATATAACTGTGAAATCTGTTTTCTGTTAATAATAATAATAATAATAATAATAATAATCATAATAAAGTTAGAATGTCTGCATCACTGTTTAATTTCAAGGAACTCATGCCGTGGTCTGTGTTCCAGGTACAGCTCGTGTTTTTGTATCTTGGTGCTCCAGCAGTCAGGACCATCCGTGGGCTCCACCGCTGCGTGAGTCGATGGTCCGTGTGACTGACACTGTGACCTGCAGACATCAGCTGCTGACTCAGGAAGGTGTCCATCGGTGGACGCCAGAGACTGTCACGTGAACACGCAGCCTGCATCGATCTGAAGGCTTTAACACGTCAACGCTTCAGTGAGCTCGGCCGCCGATGTCAGCACATTTAACAGGATGGTAAATTGCAGATGACGAACGCGATGAGACGGCGGTCAGCAGGGAGCGCTCTCCCAGAGGTGTGCCTGTTGACTCACCTCTGTAGTTAATGATCTCGGTGCCCAGGACGGCGGTCATCTCCAGCACAGTGATGAAGGCCTTGTCCATGGAGGTGAGGGGGAACGGGGACATGCGGTGTCTTCGGGCCACCTTGGTGATGTCCACTGCACTGTGACCTGAACGAGACGGGAGACGTTAGGACTGACGTCACCAGAGAGGTCCAACACCTGTCCACTGTCTTCAGGTTTTGGACCTCTGTCTTGATCCCACTCAGATTTCAACACTACTTATTGTCCTGCATGTTTTTAATGATACTTGTTCCATTACTGCGGCCTCAGTCGACAAATCCTGGGAGACATCGTCGGGTGAAGTGTATTATTATTTAATTTCATTTAATTTATTTACTGCAAATAACATGTCTTGGTTTGTCTGTGAGGCAGTGACAGGCAGAATACTATTCCACTAGGTGGCAGAAGATGTCTTTCATCAATTCCTGCGCACATGTAAGTGTTTTGTTTAACTAAACAGGCCAAGACTTCATACTGAGTAAGTAAACTGCAAACCAACCTGGAACTATAAAATTAAAGAAGCTTTAAATTGTCTTCCTGCTGCAGAGTTTTTTTTTCTGTATTTGTAGAATTCTGGGGGTTGTTGAAACCTGTTTCCATGATTCTGTTTTTAAGGTAAAGATCATCAGGGTCTGATGTTTTAATTCCTCGCCTTGTAGAAGAGCTAATTCTGTCCTCAACCAGGATTGAACTGAATTAGTCCTGCTGGTTCACAGAAGGCCTGCGGAGGGTGCAGTTGTTCTGGCAGCCATGTTGGTCTAATAATATATGTCTAATAATCCAAAGGTAAAAGGAAGAAAGCAAGGTGTAACTAATGTGTAATCCCCCCTCGCTCTCTCTCCCTCTCTGTCTTTCTCTGCCTCGCTCTCCCACTGCTTCTCTGCCAAGAACAGACTCTGAGCTTTGATTTTCTCCCTGACCCAATTTCTTCTCCTTTAAACATACACTTGTGCTTCAACAGCATATTCTGATGTTTAACATGAGGCTTAACAACCTCTGGCAAAACAACACACACACACACACACACAAAGAGCATGCAAACAAACCGCAGCAGTCACACATGAACCAGACCTGCACTGTCACATCACATGCTTGTTTGAAGTCTATTTCTGGAGGACACGTGGTGAGATGCAGATGTGACACACACGCACACGCGTGCACACACACACGGAGCGTAGGCCTTTGAATCTGGGGCTTAGTACTCACTTGATCTTAGGATATTTTCTTTGCTGCTGCATCGTGACTGCACCTTGAGATGGAGAGGAGCGATTGAGAGCGAGAGACAAAGGGCAGCGAGAGAAAAGAGAGGAAGAAGAGGAGGAGGAGGAGGAGGAAAAAAGACAGAGGCAGCGGTAATTTGAGACAAACCAGGCGACTCTTTTTTTTTTTTCGACATGCTGGAGATGAAAAAAAAGATGTTTATGCAACAGTAAGAAAAAAAAAAGCACTGTGCAAGAGCAGTGTCACACTACACTGTGCACTTTGTCCTGCTGCTGGGAGATGGCTGCATCTCCTGCATCGCAATGATCACAATTATCACTGCTTACGTTACAGAGCTACAGCGTCACAGTAGAGGTGGAGGTCAGAGTTAGGAGTACACTACACATGTCACACTGCCCTGAGATTTGATAGAACAGCAGGTAAATAGATGTGTGTTGACAGTTTGGAGTGGACAAAGGCAACAACATACAGAGGTCGTCACAGATGTTTCAACTGCGCTACGGTGTCGACATCAAATGTGGAGGGGATGCGGTGTCGTAGCGGAGGACGTGGCTGTTCAGATGTGGTGCAGAAGACGTGAGGGTTCTGTGGGAATCACTGATGCTACGTGGAGGCTAACAGACTGAGCTAACTGTACATAATCTGAGGAAAAGGAAGGAAGGAGAGTGGAGCTGATCTGAGTTTCACAAATCCCCAAATTTTGAAAGCAGCACCAGCAGAGTTTCATACATTTAAGATCTTTTTAAAGATAAATATGATAAAAATAGTTCTTTAATTTAATGCATGTAAAATGCAATAAAACAATACTGAGAAAGAGCTTCTGATGAAGGTCTGGAACGTAACGCAGCAACTGTTTTCTTAGGCTAACTCTGAGACTAGGCTTTAGATTTTGTTTCACTTTTAGCAGCTTATGTTCAAACGTCTCTGTTTTAAATAAAATATTTGAATTAATTTGTTCAAATCGTTACGACTCATTATTAATTATGAACACTTAGGGGACTTTGGGGAAACTGAAGGAGAACACAGAATGAACCTTTAAAGCCAGCCCTCCACAGTCACTGTGAAGTTTCTGGACCTTTAACTAAATACTGTGTTATCTTTGAACCTGAGCTAACAGCAGTATCGGCTCCACGTGTTTTGGAGCAGAAGTGTCACATTTTGTGGTTCACTTTGTTCATTTTCGTACCCGTTGATTGACTTTACTGATGTTTTCTTTGTTTTTGTAGCACTTTTCTCTGCCTCCTCCTGATTCATCTCCCACTTCTCTCTCAGCTCCTTCAATACTTCCTAACTTTTAAAAAAACTTACTGATTTTTTCTCCAACCTGGACATAAATGAGTTGGGTTGTGGGCAGTGTGTGGCGTATGGAGAACCAAAACCCCCGTGGTGAAGGTGAAGGTCTCTCTACCCCCCCAGACCCCCCGCTCCCCTCATCGCCAGCACGACTAGACTAATACTGTGACACCACTGGGCACCAAACAGCCAAGGTGAAGTTGTGGGAGATGACAGGTGGTCGGACAGGGACGGAGGATGGTGGGATACGGATGGAGGGCTGGACAGATGGACAGAGGCAGTGGGAGGAAGAAGATGATGATGAGATTTGGTTGGACAGGTAGGAGAGAACAGTGACGTCTGGGAGGATGAAGATCAGCACGATGGAGTCCCACAGGCCAGAACGAAAAGTAAGACATGAAGCACGGACTAGACGGACTTCACTAAACTACAGAGCCCAGACACAGCGACAGTAAGAAAAAAGACAAAGAGACGACAAAGACCAACACGGTGGTCAGATGGCATCAACTAACAGACATCCAGCACACCACCAGACACGTTCAGCTACTGGAAGCAGGGCGTGTTCAAGGAGAACTCCGGTCAATGTCAACACAGAAATCTGTTGTTGGAGGCCATGAGTCCTGTGGTCAAAGGTCAAGTCGGAGAACGCATGGTCCAAACTTTCTGATGGTTGTGAATGCAGCCTTTTGGCTTCAGATCGTCTCAAAATATCAGTACAAGTGCATCGCAACATGAATAGTTTCTTCACAACAAACAACTGTGAATCTGTGAATTCACACTGGTCTGGTGTGAAAGTTTAACACTGCACCTCTCCAGAGCAGGTCATTTAAGCTTATATTAAAGGGCAGCACCAGCAGGGGGCGATCATTCACTCTATAATACTAACTGCCCGTAAAAGCTGCAGGATTAGTGACTGAATGCAGCCTAGACCAAACTCACACTACCATAAAACTGAGCTACATTACGTTAACTGCTGCTGTTAGCTTGAAATGCTAGGCAATAGCCTCAATGCTAATAAAAGTGTATTTTATTTCTGAACTGAATCCCTGTTTCATGGTTACAGGAGTAAACATACACACAGGTGTCTTGTCATCAGTGATAGTTCATGTTGCATTGCACTGGTAAGGACATTTTTTGTTTTTCTTACTGCGTTCACAACCAGACAGATGACTGTAGCTGCTGACGTACACGTCGGCACACGGACATCTAACAACAGAGCCTTACGTTAAAATCAACTGAAGTTCTCCTTCAGAGAGGGAGACAGAAACAGAGAACAGAGACGAGGAAGACAGACAGACGGACAGACAGACAGAGAAAATGGACAACAGGAAGACAGGAATATGTGAATATGAGAGACAGAGACAAGACAAAGTCAGGAGAGTGGACAAGAGACAGATTAAAGATGAAAAAAACACAGGAAGGAAAGGCTGAAGAGAGAGAGAGAGAGAGAGAGCTACGCAAGCCAGGACCACAGGGTAAGGACACAGAGAGTGGGGGTGTGTGTGTTTATTTTGCGCACTCCTTGGTGGAGGGTAGGACAGGTGGGGGTAAGAGGGGGAGGAGAGGAGGGGGCGGGATAGTTACTCGAGAGCTGAAGGTCCTCCTGCGATCATCTTTAAGCCCCTCCAACCTACACTGGAGCTAGTGGAGATAAAGCATTGAATCATAGGCATCAGTGCATCTGTCCCGGCAACGGCAACAACACCACAGACAGACAGGACAGACAGGACAGACAGGACGAGACTCACAGGAGGACGATGGGACGGACGGACAGACAGACACGGACAGAGACAGACAGACGGACAGACAAGCATCCACTACAGGCAACCCTGACAGAAGAGGACCAGCAGCAGAAGAGTGATGAACAGAGAGAGTGGAGACACACTGCACTGTGGTTCAAACTCTGGCTGGAGTCTCACCCTACAATAAGTTACTCCGTAAAAACGGACCAGAACAGGATCAGTTATTAGAACCAGGTAAATCAGGAATGAACTTTAGATATTATTTTATTTTTTATTGTTACATCTTTAATATATATTGAAGTCATGTATAAAATCATCTCAATTCTTCCTAAATGTTTACTTATAAAAGCTAGGCCAAGCTAACCCTGCTAACACCCTCTGTCTTATTTATTTGGGCTTTAGTTGCATGACCGCCACCTACTGGGACTACTTCATATTTGAAGATATTAGACCAGTGGTCCCCAATCCCTGGGCTGCGGACCGGCACCGGTCCGTGGATCAATTGGTACTGGGCCGGACAGAAAGAATACAGAACTTACATTATTTCCGTTTCATTTATTATCTGATTCTGAACGATGTTTTAATTAAAAAAACAGGATTCTCGTCTGTTCGTCTGTCCATGACTCACACTTGATACATGTCAAAAAAACAGTTTTTATCGTTTTATTCAGTTATATTTATCCACCACAGTCTAAAGGTCGGTCCGTGGTGCAAAAAAGTTTGGGGACCGCTGGTCTAGAGGACCTCAGCCAGCAACAGTAAAATTACAAAAATAAGAAAATGGAAAGAGAAGGTAAACCTGGCTGTAAACCCTAGAAATGAACGATTTCATTCACTTTAAATGATTTTATGGATCTTTTTGTGGGGATATTTTGTGTGTTACAGCTTTAATCATACACCTAAAGAAGTGATGGTGCTGTGGAGGAAAATGTCTCCTTTTTTTTTGCATTCATACCTGCATAACATTTTAAAATGTACTGAACGATTGTGATGCAAAATATAGAAGTGAAACACAGAGAAAACTAAACTGAAAAAAGGTGGATTATTACAGAGAAAGAAAACAAAATCTAAATCTAAAAAGGATCCCGTCAGTATCCTACTGCCTGCTTGGTTTCTTTGAACACACACACTGACAAACCACAGAAAATCACAGGTTTCTACTTGACTTTCTGAAGCAGTGTCCCATGAACCCTTTCACAGTGAGGTACCATTAACCCGGGAACATACGGTGAACCTGGGCGGCTACAACACCAGCCTGCTGCGTGGAGTGATGACACTGAGACGGACACAGGTGGAAAAACAAGACCTGGACGGAGCAGAAATAACTCCATAGAAACCATACCATCAGAGAGCCATGTGGAGGAGGAGGAGAGGGAGGGTGGGGGGTGGAGGGGGGGTTGCATATGGAGATGAGGAGACACAGACGGAGGTGTGGTAGGAGGTAAGGAGCACGGGTCACAGGAGCAGGAGTGGAGGTGTTTCAGACAGGTAGCAATGAGGAAAAAAAAAAAAAAAAAAAAAAGGCACAACGTCCAACATTCTCACTCCTTTCTAATCTGCCCTCTGCTGCCCACCCCCCGGTACTGCTGAGAGACCAACCAAGTGAGAGGAGAGAAGAAGAATGAGCTCATGAGACAAGAAGATGGTACCAGACACACACACACACCAGACACAGGAAACATGCTGTAAACACACACACAAAGTTCATATATTTGAAGGGCATATACTAGAGGGAGTATCGGTACTAGTCAGTACCAGTGTTGATGTGATGAAACTTATCAGAGTTTTGGATTAGCAACCTGCGCTAACCCAGTATTCCACCAGAGGGCAACAGCTCATTGAAATATTAGGTCTTTACAGGCACAGCATGGAGATAGAGCAGAACATACTGTATAACATGAATTAAAAACTGAGCAGGACCCTAACAGTATACAGTGGTGTGTCACCTGCAGGGCGGCGACCCTCTGCTTGGATTTTCACATTTACTACTACATTTATAGTCAAGGTACCTGGTACTGTAGGTAAAAGCTACACAACAACTGACCAAGGCTGGCTCAGGATCAGCCTTAAAGGAGGAAACATAAAAAAATGTTTGTATATATTTTGGAGATTAGGATTGTAGTTGTAAAAATACATGTGGAAAAGTTTGTGATTTATTCAGCGTAATCTGTACAAGCCTTTGCTAAACGAAGTTGTGCTTCATCAATCCTAACGGAGAGTAAAATATGGGTAACAATGCCAGGTGACAAAAACTTCACACACACACACAGGAACCGCATGGTTGCCACGGAAACAACCTGACAGCGGGTTGTCATGGAGATCTGCCAAGAAGATCCTTGGGCTGGTGGATAGGACGGCGGTGGCGTGTGTGTGTGTGTGTGTGTGTGTACGGTCAGAGAATAGTGAGTGTGGCCGGGTCAGTGAGACACGTGGCCTACAAGCTTAACGCCACCCAGGGGAAATAGATGGGGCCAATAACGCACCAGCAGAGGAGGCGCTCCAGGAAATGATGGGATGCTATCGCTGCAGTGCTGAGCTCAGCAGAAAACAAAGAGCTCGTCAGACAAATTATGCAAAAAAGAGTCGGATTTATCTGTCCCCCAGATGAGCTCTGAAAACGACTTCAAACGCCCGGCTTGTTGGTATGAGGAGCAGGACACAATACTCCTGTGGCTAAGTCTCCTTCCTCCTGGGGAGGGAAGACAGGAGAAAAGGAAAGAAGCCTTGGCTTTTCTCAGACTTCTTAGACATTTACTGAGTTAATTGTTTAAATAATGTTTTCCTCCCTATGTGGCAAAACCAGAAGCTAATGTCTGGTTTTGACGTTATCAAGCGGTGGTCAAATATGGCACCAAAGCCAATGAGGAGATGTTTCATTAGGTAGAGGATTGATTTCTTTCTGCTCTGACATTTAATGCCTCTGTGCCTGTGCAACAGCAACATGATTAAACATTCACTCCTGACGACTCTGGATTATTTACTGCCCTTACACACACACACACATGCACAAGGCAAACACAAATACACACAAACATAACGTCACATCGTCTGCGTACACAAACACTGTCAACAACAGACACACAAATCACACCATGGCATGTGTTCGGGTGGTTGGTGACAGGAAGTGACAGGAAGAGGATTAAAGAGAGAGAATGAGAAGAAAAAGAAAAAAATGTTGCTAACGACTTAACACAGTCATACAAAGAGCAACTAGTGAGAGGCGGCAACTTCTGAACTACTTTGATTTTAAGTCTAAGTTTACGTGGTTTCTTCGCCCACTGTCTCGTACCTAAGCGCAGTACTTCTCTGTACAAATATTCATGAGAATATACAGTATGTGTTGGTTTCAAAATGGAGGAAAATCCTGGTATTAACACATGATCGTCATCTGTTTTTGTTACACACTCTACAGAAATCATTTCAACGTAACAGCACTTGTTGAATATATTTATATATTATTATTCCCAATGATTCACAGTTCAATAATAACATTTCAGCTAGTATTTTCTAAATACTTTTTTGTCCAGGTTTTTTCCAGATGAAGATTAAATGTCAGTACCAGTTCTACATCTAGTAGTACTTTGTGTTTGTGGTGATTGTTTCTGGACTAGGGACCACGAGCTGAAACTGCATGTTGTTTATGTCAGCAGGTATGTGTGTAAGTGATGTGGTGAGGTGCATTGTGGGATGCCAGTGGCCTTGCATGCTGGTAGACAAGAGATGGGAAGAAGGTTGGCGGGTTTTTTTACCTGGTCCAAGGTAGAGTACCTTGACTTGAGCGTGATGACCTCATCCAGGTGAGCCCTGAATTCTCTCCGTGAGGCCTGAGGGGAGGGGGGGGGGGGGAAAAAGGGGAGTCACTCACCTTCATGCAACACACACACATGAACACACACACACATGCATGTACAACCAGCCTGCTCAACACAACTGACAGCATCGGTTAGCTGTTAGCTTCTTGTTATTGAACGCAAATACACACATCAGAGGTTCACACACACACACATACACATCCTGGAGTTCATTCAGTTCTGATGACATACGTCAATTCATTAAGTGAAGGAAATTCAAAACTGTCATCAAAAACACAATTCATTAAGTGAAGGAAATTCAAAAATGTCAAAAAAAAACCCACACTCATCAGATGCTGAAAAGACCCAGAGATAAAGTTGCCATCAGGTCGAAGTCGAGACCACCGTGGGTTTTAGTCTCACGTTCAAGTTTAAGTCTGGACCAATAAGAGCGCGACAGTGACGTGTTAAGTTAAAATACTAACCAACATCAACTTGATTCTCCACAGATTTATATAAAAAAATATGTCAAATAAAATGGTGCGACTTTGGCTTTTCTTCTTTCTTCGTTACCGTCCAATTAAAAGAAACCTGTTCTGTTTACAAGCTGCTGCAGGAGTAAGAGAAGCTGAGTTAAAGGTGCTGAGGTCAACATCACACACACACACACACACACACACACACACACACTCCACGTTGGTGCATTAATAATATCCCGTTCATTCAGATACATAATTCAGGCATCTTTCAACGTCAGTCCTGAGGTTGAAATGCAAATGATGGAGATGTGTGTGTGTGTGTGTGTGTGTGTGAGTGTGGGAACAAGGCCAAAGACAAGAACCAGAACAAGGACAGGTTCAAATTAGAGGGAAACACAACAACAACAACAACAACAACAACAACAACAACAACAACAACAACAACACGGCATTCACACAACCACAGAAGAAAACAACAACAACAAAAACACACACAAAGGAGACAGCAGGAGCGGAGCAGGCTGAGAGGAGGTGCAGGGAGGAGGCACACATGCCAAGCTGCAAAATGAACAAAGTGTGGAATGGGAGTCAAATCCAGCGGAGAGATGACGGGCGTACAGTAAGTACCTCAGCAATGCTTAGGGTGGAGGAACAGGAGGGGAGCCGCGCCTGGTGCCACGGGAGAGAGGAGGGGAGAAGAGAAGAGGGTTAACAAGAGCCAGAAGCCGGGCGGAGCGAGGGGGGGTGGGGGAAGGTCAAGAGGCACACAGAGACTGGACGGCTGGAGTGGTCCCTCAGGAAGGTGGACCTGGACCTGGATCTGGATCTGGATCTGGATCTCAGCTCTCTGTGTGACTGTCTCAGGTGGTGCCAAGGCAGCCAGGGGGGA